TTGTGGCTAAACAACCGAACCTGGGAGGTGCGATGGGAGTGCCAGTTGCCTCTCCAAATCAGCTGCCTCTTCCCTGCCTGGGTACATCTCCCAACCTTCATGAAATTACATGAGACCGTGTGACTAAGTCCTTGCTGATGGGATGTAAGTAGAAATGACATGCACTACCTTCAGGCCAGGGCTCTTAAGGAAGTGAGCTTCCTCCTCCATACCCTCTTTTCATTTTTGCTGCAGACTTGACAAAGCCTTAAGGCAGTGGTCTTCAAACTGGTGAGTACCACAATCACCTGCCGGCTCGCTGAACAAGATCCCTGGTCCCCACCCCAACACTTTCCAAGTCAGTAGGTCTGCGGGAGGACAAGCATGTCTCATCTGCTCCCCGGACATGCTGACACTGCTAGTCTGCGGATCACTCTAAGAACCACTGCCCTAGGGTATGGTAGAACCTCATATTGAGGGAACATGTTTCCAAATGGGAGAATTAAAGAGAGCCTCCTCTGGGGATCAGTAGATGGTGTAACAGTTATGTCTCTGGACTCCCACATGCCTGACCACAATTCGAGTCCAGGACCTGGTGGCTTGAAACTCACGCCAGGTGTATGTGCATGTGTGCCCCAAAATCCCAAGAGTAGAATGGATGAGAAGGGATTGTGGTGTGGCCATCCTCCAGGGGGTGATTTCTCACTTTCTATCTCTCTCTCTGTCTCTCTGGTGAGTGTATGCACCCTACAGCACAAATCTCTTTCGAAACAAAAAAAGAGAGACCCTTCTCTGAGCACCCTGAAGTACTGTTTCTGGCTCAAAATATGGTTCTGTTGTATTAACTCCATATATATCTACATCTTTTTTTTTTTTTTAGAGAGATTTTTGCTTTAAGGTGTATGTGCTCACCAGAGAGATAGACAGAGAGACAGAAAGCAAGCAATCACCACCCCCTCCGGGGGTGGGGATGGCCATGCCACAATCCCTTCTCCTCCATTCTCCTCTCGGGGTCTTGGGCACGCACGCACACGCACCTGGTGTGAATTTAAGCCACTGGGTCCAGGACTCGAACCAAGGTTGACTACGGGAGTCCAACGACATAACCATTACGGTATCTGCTGGTCCCCAAAATACTGTTTCCAATATTGAATCTAGTGTTGCTGATGAGAAATTTGTCATCAGGCTGATTCTCTCTGCTTTGGAAGTTATCGTGTTTTCTTTTGGGGAACTAAGATTACTTTTATCTTTCATTTCCTTCAGCGGGCCCACAGGTGAGTTTTTTCTTTTTCCATTTATTCAGTATAGTAGTCAATGAGACCTTTCCGAGGAATCTTGCCTTTTATCCTTTCTGTTAAACTGTCAGCCATTGTTACTGCATTTTCACCCTTCCCCCCACCCCCGGGACACTTACTGAATTAATATTGGAATTTCTGGATACATCAGGCTTTTCTCCTAGCATTGCTTATATACTTAACATGTCTTTCTTTCTTTGTGTCTCATTAGAGAATTCTAAGTTCAGGGCAGGAGGCTAGCAGGTGGTGTGGTGATTAGGGGCGCTGGACTCCCTCATGACTGACTGTGGTTCAAGTCCTGGAACTGGCAGCTTGCTTTTTTACTCCCACCCACCACCACCCTCTCACTCTGTACCTCTCTGGTCAAAATTTAAAATAAATAAAATAAATAAAGTTAAATTATTATCTCTTTATAAAAGGATTCTCAAGTCAATCTTTCAGTTCACTGATTTTCTTTCAATTGGATCTAATGTTCTAGTCAACCCACCTATTAAAATTTTAACAATTATACATTTCCTTTTGAAGATCTTTGTTGACTCTTGTGGGTATAATTTCTTCTTTTCAGTTCTCAACAGTTACTTTAAGATTGTCTTATTAAGTTCAATTCCCTTGGATATAAATTCTCCCTTTTCATTTTTTTAAATAGTTTTTTTTTTTTTTGGCTATAGAGCATGTGCTCTAACCAGAGAGACACAGAGACAGAAAGTGAGAAATCACCCCCAGGGGAGACAGCCACACAACAATCCCTTCACCTCCATTTTCCTCTCAGGACTTTGGGCATGCATGTACACGTGCCTGGCGTGTTTTAAGCTGCGAGTCTGGGACTCGAACCATGATCAACTACATGGGAGTCCAGTGACATAACCATTATGCCATCTACTGGTTTCCCCCTCCTTTTCTTTTTTTTTTTTTTTTTGCCATAGGATGCATGCACTTGATAGAGCGAGAGACAGAGAGTGAGAAAGAAAGAGAAATCACCCCTCCAGGGGGGATGGCCATGCCACAGTCCCTTCTCCTTCATTTTCCTCCTGGTATTTTGGGCACACACGCACTTGTGTCTGGCATGATTTTCAAGCCTCTGGGTTTGGAATTTGAACCATGATCAGTCTTTTGGGGACCTAATGCCTTAATCACCATTCCATCTCCTGGCCCCCAACTCTCCTTTTTCTTAAGTTTGTTGTTTCTGTCATAGGATTGGGCTTCCACAGATGCTTGGGTGATTTTTTTTAATTGTAACAAAATATACATAAAATTTACCATTTAAAATTTTTTTCCTGCCTTTTTTGTCTTTTTTACTTTTTATTTATTTATTTATTTTTTTTTGAGAGATTTTTGCTGTAGGGCGCATGTGCTCGCCAGACAGACAGAGACAGAGAGACAGAAGGCAGAAAATCACCCCCCAGGGGGGGATGGCCACGCCGCAATCCCTTCTCCTCCATTCTCCTCTCGGGATCTTGGGCACGCACGCACACGCGCCTGGCGTGAGTTTAAGCCACCAGGTCCGGGACTCGAACAGCAGTCGACTACGTGGAAGTCCACGACATAGCCATTACGCTAACTGCTGGTCCCTAAACTTAAACCATGATTTACTGTATGGGATCCGGCTCCCTTAACCACTAGGCTATGTGGTCAGCCCTGATTGTCTTTTTTAAGAGACAAGTTCTGCTATGTTCGCAGCCTGGTCTTGAACTTGTGATCCTCCTGCCTTGGCCTCGCAAATAGCTGGGACACAGACCCAGAAAACTACCATTCTATTCTGTCTCTGTGGAAAAATGGAATGAAAGTATGAATTATTCTAGTGCTAGAAAATTTCGAAATCCATGCATAGTTTCTTCATAATAAGCATTTTCCATGAACTTTTAAAAAATGTTGCCAGAGAGCATGTACACTCACCCAAGAGAGACAGAGATAGGAGGAAAGCAAGAATGCACTCTCCACAGGGCACTGTCATACCACAATCCCTCTCTTCCACTTCTCCCTTCTTTCAGGATTTTGGGTATACGTGCATGTGCACCCAGCATCTTTTTTGAGCTGCCAGGTCCAGGACTTGAACCACATGGTCAGCCATGTGGAATCAAGTCACCTTAACCAACAGGCCACAGGCTGGCCCCCTGTGAACCTTTTGAAGACCCCACATATAAGTGGAATCATTTAATATTTGTCCTTTTGTGTCTGGCTTCTTTTTTTTTTTTTCTTTTTTCAATAAGGAGATTTTTTGCTATAGGGCACGTGTGCTTGCCAGAGAGACAGAAAGCGAGAATCACCCCCCAGCGGATGGCCATGCCATAATCTCTGCTCCTCCATTCTCCTCTCGGGATTTTGGGGATGCACACACACATGCCAGCGTGTTTTAAGCTGCTGGGAGAAAGACTCAAACCATGATTGACTGTATAGGACTCCAGTGACACAAACATGCCATCTGCTGGTCCCAACGTCTGGTTTATCTCACTTTGGATTCATCTATGTTGTGGCATGTGTCAGAATTTCATCCTTTTCTTAATGCCAAATAATATTCCATTGTATGTATATAGCAGAATTTGTTTATCTACTCACCCCTCAGTGGACAGATGGGGTGTTTCCGTCTTTTGGCTATTGTGAATAGTGCTACAATGACATTGACGTACAAATATCCCCCTTCAGGTCTCTGCTTTCAATTCTTTTGGGTATGTATGCAGGCTTGTGTGTTTCTTGGTTGTAAATTAATCTTTGAATTCCATGCTGTCTTGGGTGAGGGTGGTCTCCCATCAGAGCGGCCTCACGTGTGTCACATGCTGGGCAGCCCTGGCTTGGCTCGGGACCAACTCTGCTCTCAGCCCTTGCCTCACTTATGGCTGCCATGGCTTAGCATATGGTTCCTGTCTGCCTCCCTCTTTAGCGATGCTACCCAGCCTTCTGTTCCTAAAGAGTTCCCTTTTTTGTTTCCAAGAATGACTGTGTATCAACTTATTTGAACCGTCATTTTTTAAAAAAATATTTCATTTTTACTTATTCATTTATTTATTTTAATTTAACCAGAGAGAGAGACAGGCACACACACACACACATACACACACACACACACACACACACACACAGAGAGAGAGAGAGAGAGAGAGAGAGAGAGAGAGAAAGAAAGTGAGAAAGCAAGCCACCAGGTCCAGGACTTGAACCGTGGTCAGCCATGTGAGAGTGTCTAGCACTTTAACCACTATGCCACCTGCTGGTCCCCTGAACCATCATTTTTATCATTTTGGTTTTGTGTTAGGGGTGGAGAGTTTTTTTGTTTTGTTAATTTGCCAGAGGGCATGTGCACTTACCAGAGAGAAAGAGAGAGAGAGAACCTCCATAAGGCATGATCATCCCCCATTCTCTTCTCCTCTCTTTCTCCCCCTTGCTGGGATTGTGGGCATGCATGCACATATGGTCAGTGTGTTTTTCAAGCCACTTAGGCTGCTATTCAAACCATGCAGTCAGCCATGTGGAATCCAGCTGCCTTAACCACCAAGCCATGGAGTCAGTTCAAGAGTGGAGATTTTATCATGTGCTCAATCTGCCAACTTGAAAACAGGGGCATACAGCCTAAGTACCAATGAATAAGCGAATACCTGCAAGTCATCCAGAAGTCCAGGAAAATGATACTCATGTGTTGGCACTGGATTTCTGAGATCGGGGGAAGAATTTTTTCCAGAAAGCATTTACTTTAAAGATGAACTCCCCACCCAAAGCTTTTGAGGGACTTTTCATTACCTGTAGTGCTGAGGCCAGTGTATTCAGGGGAAGGGTTGCTGACAGGCGAGGAGGGAGGTGGCACTTCCACAGACGTGGCAGATTTTGCTGGAGAAAATGACGGCACTGGTGAAGGGGTTGGTGGGGCAGCCTCTGTCAAAATAATCTCCTCTCGGACTTCTGCTGTGGATAGAGACAGGGTGAGTTCTTAGAGCCCAATGGCGAGGCAAGTCATTTTTTTTTCTTTTTTTTGGAGAGGTTTTTGCTATAGGGCGTGTGCGCTCGCCAGAGAGACAGAGACACAGAGAGACAGGAAACAAGAAATCACTGCCCAGGGGGATGGCCATGCTGCAATCCCTTCTCTTCCATTCTCCTCTCGGGATCTTGGACACACACATACACATGCCCAGTATGAATTTAAGTCACCAGGTCCGGGACTCGAACCGCGGTCGACTACGTGGGAGTCCAGTGACGTAGCCATTATGCTACCTGCTGGTCCCGAGGCAAGTTATTTTTAAGAGTCTTTACAAATTGAAATATTCTTTCTAATCTGTGTCATTCACTTCCCTGTTTAAAATCCTCATGGTTTCCCTCACCACCACGGAACTCAAGACAAGTCCCATGTACATTCGTGCCCTCTCTGAAGAGGAAAAAGAACGGTTTTACACCCTTCCATCAACTCGTCATGACTGTTGTGCTGTTCTATGCAAGAATGCATCATGACTTTTCCGACGACCCGGTAAATTCTTCGGGATACAAAGTTAAAGAAACACAGGGCACAGAAGTAAGTAGAGAAATCCTACAGCCACGTGGTGCAATCCCCAGAGAAATGCCGGCTTACCCGTGCTTCCTTCTCCCTTCATGGCTCGCATGAGCTCATTGGCTCGCTCCTGACAGTGCAGAGATTCTAACAGGTAGAGCACGTAGTCATCAAACATCAAGTGAATTAGATGAAAAGACCCTGGTGAGAGAAGGTCAAACAGAAGGGCAGGTCATGTCACCTCATGTGTGCCCTTGCGCTGGGTCAACAGCACGTATCACACTGCGCCCTAGCAATCTGCTCAAGAGTCATCTCTCCACTCCGTTATGGTGGCCTCGTGGGCTCTGCTGGATCGTCAGTCTAGCCTAGCGCTTGGCATAATGGCCAATGCCATTCACGGTCTGTCACAGTGAATCTTCCTTAGGCTCTCGCCATTAATTTGATCCTATCAAAAATGGCACCCCCGAGCCATCCACCCAAATGCTTCTGAACTCTCGCACACACACTGACCTCATCCTGGTCTGAGCATCTGTCACTGTGGCATCGACTGACATAGAGTCTTTCATTTTTATGTCCCCCACAGGCATATCTTACTTCCCCAACCGGACACTCAGTGTTTCACAGCGTGGACTTGCCTTCTGGTATACGTTGACGTGTAGCAAAGGACTGACATTATTCTAGGAGCAGGACGGGAAGGTTCAATTTGCAGCAACTGAATTATGTCCTTAGCTGTTTCTGAGATCTCATTCAGCACTTGGCTCTTAGAAAAAGTATTGAATTGGGCCAGCTGATGGCGTGACATTAAGGCAACCGGATCCCACATGGCGGTTAAGAGTCTCGGATCTGGTGGGTTGAGAAACATGCTGGGCAAGTGTGTGTGCATGCTCAAAATTGCAGTTGAAGGGAAAAGATTGGGTATTTTTAAGTAGTACTTTGTATTTTCAATTTAGGTAGACTCTTTCAGGGAGGGGAATGCGAATGATCATTTAGAAGTATTTTTTCCATGTGCTCATCTCTGTGCTCAAAGTCTTACCTTCTCTAATTTAATTCCTACAACCACTCTATATAAGGTGGTTCAATTTCTATTTTGCAGGTCAACTACTTGTATAAGATGACGCAAAATTTGCTATAGGGTGTGTGGGACAGAGAGAGACAGTGAGAGAAAGTGAGGAAGCACCCCCACTCCCAGGGGGGAAGACCATGCTGCAAGCAAGCCCTTTCCTTCCATCCTCCTCTTGGGGTTTTGGGTACACACACACTCACACAAACCTGGTGTGTTTTTCAAGCCCCCAGGTCTGGAAATTGATGTAACCCGAGTGGCCGGATACTGTATTCCTTCTTTTATTTTTTTTCTTCTTTTTTTTTTTCCCCCAGATTAATTTCACATTTTACATAAAGTTCCTGTCATGATGTATACGATATATACTTTTTCAACAGAGAACTTTACATTTTTTGGTCTGTTAAGTGTTTCTTTTTCTTTTCTTTTTCTTTTGAGAGTTTTTTGCTATAAGGCATGTGTACTCGCCAGAAAGACAGAGGAGACAGAAAGCGAGGAACGACCCCCCAGGGGGGATGGCCACACCGCAATCCCTTCTTCTCCATTCACCTCTTGGTATCTTGGGCACACACACACGCACCTGGCATGAGTTTAAGCCACCAGGTCCAGGACTCGAACCGCAGTCAACTACATGGAAGTCTAGTAACAAAGCCATTACGCCAACTGCTGGTCCCAAGGGCGGTTAAGTGTTTCTTCCCTTAGCACCTCACACGCACCCTCTATCCTGCTCTATGTTACATTACCGTACATTATATCAAAGCCATCTGTTTTGCATGTCATGCCGCTGCTATGGACGGCGGAATGCACACCTGTGGTAGGCGATCAGTGAAGGTCTGCTGGAGTCAAAGCCTTGTGGATGCCAGAGTCAGAGAGAGGGGAAAAGCCTTTATTTCTAGTTCCCTGCTTCCAAGCCCTCAAGGGAATCTCCACGTGGATGTGCTGTTGTCCGATGAATGTCCTAAATTTCTCCCTCACTCCCCTACACGCTAAATTGCTCCCTCACTCCCCTACACTAAGAAGAATCTCTTCCTCTCATTCCCATTTCCCGGTAGTTTGCCTTTTCAGAGGCCTTAGGAGACTGGCATTAGCTTCAAGCTCTCTCCATTAATGGCTCCGTTACCCAGCTGGTCTGTTCATTTTCAGTCGTGCTTCTTCAAACCACAGGAGCGTGTGGCTACTGCTACCTGCCTGCTAGTGTGCTAAGTGCTCTGTCAACAAAGGCGGCGTAAAGCTTAGCCTGACTCCACAAAAGCGGCAGCGTCCTTAGCAAGCAGAAATCAATCATTAAGACTAAAGAGCGGGGCCTGCAGGTGGAGTGGTAGTTAAAGGCGCTGGACCCCCATGGCCGACCGTGGTTTGAGTCCCGGACATGGTGGCTTGCTTTCTTGCTTTCCCTTTCTCTCTTTTTCTCTTCCTGTCTCTGTCTGGTCAGATTAATAATAATAATAATAACAACAACAAATGGAATTAAATAAATAATTCTTAAAAAAAAAAAAAGAAGCTTATCGAGCAGTAAACAGTTCAGTTCCAGGGTGTCCTAGCCACAGAGACAGCGCAAATAGAGAGGAAAACAAGAGAAAGAGAGAGAGAGTGCAAAGATATGGGGGAAGAGGCAGTTATCTCCCTCCTTCACACGCATCCCCATCCGCTATACTGTACGTTTCACTTCGTCTTTATTGTGTGTCTCCCTCCACTAGGCTGCACGCTCCCTAATGCAGAGATTTTACTGTCTTGACTACGGCTTTCTAGCCAGCGTCCAGAACAGTGCCAGACACACACAGTAAAGGCTCAGTGAATACTCGCCAGATGAATGAATCAGAAGAGCCAGCCCTGACCATGTCCATGTGTATCGTCCTAAGCTCTTTTAACTCTCCAGCAACGCTAAGGAGAAGGTGTTATCATCTGCAGTTAATACACGGGGAAACGAAGGCTCAAAGGGTTTAAATAACGTGCCTAAAGTCACAGAGCTAGGAAGCACAGAAGCTCTTCTGGAGAAAGGTATTAGGATACAACAGATTTTTGTCTCGTCTTTGTTATATGGTAACACAGTTGACTGCATTTTGTGGAATCAAAGCATTTCTTTTATCTTATAAAAAAATTTCACTCGGATATAAAAGTATAGAGACTTTAAAAATAAATATGAGGGGCCAGCAGGTGGCATGGTGGTGAAGGCACTGGATTCCCACATGGTTGACTGTAGTTCAAGTCCTGGACCTGGCAGCTTAAAAATCCTAACAAATAAATAAATGAATGTTTAAAAAAATGAATACCAGTACACATTTTAGCCATCTAGCTTTATAATATCTTTTTTAAAAAATAATTACTTTATTTAACTTTATTTTATTTGACCAGAGAGGGACAGAGCAAGATAGAGAGAAAGAGAAAGAGAAAGAGAAAAAGCAAGCTGCTCGGTCTAGGACTTGAACCATGTTGCCTATGTGGGAGTCCAGAGAAGTACAATGTGAAATAAATTAAAGTGTCAAGTCTTGCATGAGAAAATGGGTTTGGTCTAGCAGTTTCAGCAGTGGCAGTCACCTTGGAAATCATCTCTACAGTCCTTCTATTTTACAGACAAGGAAACAAGGATGTGATGAGGTGAAGAACCTTGCAGTTAGAAAACTACACAGTTAGAAAACACCAGAGCTGGCTTACAGGCCAGTACTCCAGGGAAAGTGTTGGTTGGGGCCACCTGCCAGCCCTCTGCTTTATAATATCTTAACACTATACTATATTCAAATCAGATTATAAAAATCTAAAATAATAACAATAATAAATAAAATTAAATAACTAATTCTTTAAAAAATTAAAAAAACAAAACAAACAAAAAACAAACCTGAAGATAAAGCCCTCTGGGTTCCCGTCTATAATTCTGTTTTTCAGCCTCCTTCAATTCATCCCTGGAGGTAATCACTATCTTGATTTTTTTTTTTAAGTTTATTTCATGAGAGACAGGGATAAGAGAAAGAGACAGAAAGATGGGTACCTTTGACAGGGTCTCACCATGCCACTGTTCCTCCCCACAGACTTCCAGCCAGCCAGGATAACAGGCGTGCATATGCTCAGCAAGTTCAGGTCAACCCAGGATCTGCACCTGGGCCTCCCATGTGGCTTCCGCATTGTATGGCGGTACACTACTGACTGTGTCACTACAGCTGGGCCTGAAGCTGTTTAATGTTTACATCTGTTTCTTGCTTTGTACCCTACTATATATATTTATGTATTTATAAATAATGTAAAGTGGCGTTTTCTGTTTTCAAACTTGATATAAATGGTATACTACTTAACCCAGCATTCTACAACTTGCCTTTGACACTTTTGTTTTCCATCTTTCTGCATTGATATAACTAGCTCTAGTTTAATGTTCATTGTTTGAAAATACCACAATTTACTGATTCATGATCGTGTAGATGGAATTCACGTTGTTGACACTTTTTCTATTATTGGAAACTGGCTGCATAAGTATTTTCACATATGTTTAATTGTATCTAGGACCAGAAGTAGAATTCCTGGGTCAAGGGAATCCACATCTTCAGTCTCATAAGATAGTGCCAAATTACTCACTTCAAATTTTTAGGCTCTTACAAGTGGTGTATGAAATGTAATATTTGCCAGTCTCAAGGGTGGGAACATTATCATCATTATAATTTTGCATTACCTGAATTACTACAGATGTGTACATCTTTTCACATGATTATTGTCCATTTGAATTTTTTCATTTGTGAATTGCTTATTCATATAATTTGTTCATTTTTATACTGGAGTATGCATCTTTGAAAAATTTACTTAGAGGGCTCAGCAGCTGGTGTGGTGGTTGTGGACTGGATTCCCACATGGCTGACTGTGGTTCGAGTCCCGGATATGGCGGTTTGCTTTCTCACTTTACTTTTTTCTCTCTCTCTGGTCAAATTTTAAAAAATAACAAATAACAAATAATTCTTTTTAAAAACTTATTTAGAGAAGTTTACTATATATTTTGGTTTTTAATCCTTTGATAGTTAAATGCGTTGCAAAAATATATTCTCCCTTTCTGTGGCTTTTATGTTTTAACTCTGTTTTTGCTATACTTGTTAAACAAATTTAAAATTTAAACGTTGTCAATTTGGGATACATTGTCTTTATGATTTGTCCTTCATGTGTCTTTTAA